GAGCAAAGTCAGCTTTCGTAATTTGCCAGCCAAACCAAGTAGCGTAGAATCTAAATGTCGAACCGGGACTTTTTACATCAGATGACACTGCTCATGAACGTTAGTATACAGAGTTTCAGTCTTAATTGAAAAGGCTACAGACAATTTAGAACAATCCCATTGAATATGTCCTGAACTCGGTGTCTTTACGTTAGGTGTCTGCCGTGAAAATGTGCCAGTCCAGTCTGATTAATGGGACTGTATTCGCAACTATATCAGTTAAACCCACATAGACAAGTTTATAAGAAAGGGTGAAGTTTGGCTATTAACATTATCTTCGTATTGGGCGCACCCAAGTCCAGATAATGACGACACGAAAAATTTATGAACGGTAATATTTCAAGAAAGGTTTTACTAGGAAAATTGCACTTAATTAGACGATCGGAACCGTAGAATTCCGGGATTATGAAATTCGGAGTCTGGTTTATTGCATACTACTCTAGAAATTGTCACTCTTAAGCAGATAGTTAACAATGTGTGACAATTACTGAGCTGTAACTCTTTCTGTGAGTGGTCTTTTCACAAGCCGAAAAGTGATTCAAATTGACGATTAAACTAAAGGGAACATATGAACTTTGGCAACTTCCTCTTCTATGATTTCACATTGGTCAGACCTTCCGATGTCAAACTGGCACATTTCTTACCAAAATGCCAGGCTTCTGTGAATGTTCTGATTATTGATATGGAAGTTTCTTGAAATGCACATCAGTTTATACTATGTTTGAAAGACAATCTTCAGGTAAGAGGTGTATTTTCAGTCCTTGCGAAAAAATATCAACTGTTTTTCTTACATCGGGACTCCATTTTTTCGAGGTACTAACAAACACTCCCGACGTCCTCAGTTTCAACTTCGTCATACGCCTCGTCAGGACTTGTGCCTTTGACCAGGCGGCATTTATTGTTGGAGATGACAAAAATCGCATTTTATTAAAAAGGAACATAACGTAATTTTTATGTGTTCATTATGTCTTTTGAGTCTGTATTTTATTTCATTTTTCAGTCGTTTGTCGTATAAACATTCCAAACTTACATATCAGAAATATCAGGAAATGGTCTCCTTCTATAATAGTCTTTGAATTTCAGACTCGAATTATTAAAGGTTTAAAACCATTGATGCTAAATTAATGTGCCGTTCGATGTGATGAATGCTGACCTTTAGACTAGAAAATTTATTGCCTTTATCATTTTACCCAGAAAAGGGGGGGAAAAATCAAAGAAAAGAGTTTAAGCACCACGTTCTATTTAATGCTCTCCGAGCATTCCGCCTCGGTAACTCTTTAAGAACAGTCAATAAAATGAGGAGTTATTTTTAACGAAATACAGTTTATATCAACTATACCGACTTTTTGGCGTACGAAAATTTATCAGGCATTCTTGAGTTTAAGTGTTAGACTTTGTCATTTAACTTGGAATATTGTATCTGGGATAGTGGTACAAGGAATAACCGTAACGCCTTACACTAACTGTTGGCATATAGAACACGGAGGTCATGTCGTGCGCCAAATTCCATTTGACTAAGTTTAAGGTTAAGGTCCGCGTATGTTATTTTTAAAATTAGAACACAGAAATATGTACCCTTCATGGAATGTGGAGTCTGACCGCCCGTATAAATAGATCAGGGTTTTTTCTCACGTCCTACCCAAAAGTCCTTAAACACCATTATTACGTAGCCTTAGTTGGTAACCTCTGCTTCATTATATCTATTCGATTGAAGTTGGGTCTTTTAATTTGTAACGGTCTCTTAAAACTAATTGTCTTTTGAGAAAATGACTTAGAGTTGAACAACAGTATCATATAGAAATAAAACTAAATATTTGCTTATGTATTGCAAACGTTCGGCAGGCGTATTCTCTACTACAAACGCGATAGCCCTAGCCGCTACCCTAACTAATATATTTCATTATGAGTGATGTTTAAATCTAGCAGGAGGAACGCATTTGATAGTAAGTTTTGCGTTCTTCCTTTAAAAAGTTTACTGCACATTCGCAACGCTGAGACTGAAATTGCGATGATTTTGTAAGGCGAAATACTTATTTTGCGGTTACAGATTCAGTTATCATCTTGATTAGGCCAAACGTGGTATCACACGTGGGATAACGAAGTCTTGTGAAGCCGAAGTCTCGGTTGCGTGTTCAATTTTTCCATATTTGTTTGTCAGAACCTAGTGTCCTTCAGGAAACATGCCAGTTCGACCGTCGTGTTCGACGAAGCCCACCGTGTGACAGGGTGGATGCAGTGACGGTGTTTAGGAGACAACATTAAAAAGAGGGCGCAATTTTTTTTAAGCACGGAAACGTCATCTTGGGTGTTAAGAAATGTAAGCGTCTGCCGTGACCAATAGAAATAAATAGAAAAAAAAACATCCATTTTATTCACTAATAGTCCGTGTTGACTTCATCTTGTGTTGTAATTTGCATACATGAACTTCACATCCTCAATTATATTCAAGTGAACAGTGCCTGAAACAGCCTTATATGGAGCACACTATGGTGTACCATATAAAATTTAAATTAACTGGTACTAAATCAGTCCTCAAAACATGCCTAATTTTTTCGCACAGTCCTTGGCTCCTGAGAGATTTTTCTGTTGATTCCTTTGTTTTTGGAACCCGTATTCTACTTCCTCCGGAAGATTTGCAGTTCCAAATACCTTCTAACATGAGGGCCTTTTGGGTACGTCATACCTTGAAGTTTTTTGCAAACAACTAGTTCAGTATCGAACAAAAAGGCACATTTGCTTTCTATTTAGAACATCCGAAATCGAAGAGGCTGGCGAGTGGTCCCAGATTGTTTCGATTCAACGACAGCTTGAATCAGTACAACTATTTGTCAGCCTTCTTAGCTTGAACTTTTGTAAGTCAAGTTTACTTTTGTGACTTGTGAACTATTCTCAGCAGAAACCGCCAGTAACCGGTTTTATTTAGGAAAGGATTGAATTTACCCGAAAACAATTTTATGTTTCTGATATTAACTGAAAAGCAAGCTCTTTTCTTCTGTTTAAAAGCGCGGCTTCCTTTCTAAGCTACCTTTTTCTTGCTGGTTTCAGTGGGTATTGACCTTCGTCTAAACTTTCAACTGCCCTGGCCTGGCAAACCACTTGTAGCAGGTGAAGACCCTTCCAATGGGTATATGCCCCTAGCAATCACCCATGGAAAAAAACGTTACCAAGAGTCACCGTCTAAAAGCTGTTCACTGAATAAATACTCAGAGACCGAGTTAATTAACAGCCAGTCTGATGCGACGATCACCCACGATGAAGCTACGAAGCTTGTAAGCACAGGCAAGCGGAAAAGTCCTGTCTCTAAAACGAAGAAGAGGTACGTCTTAACGGCACTTACTGTCTATATTTTCAGGAAAAGTGCAGCTCCGCTAATATCTTGTTGAATAGCTAAACAGATTATTTATGGGAAATCACAAATATGTCACTCGTTGTTTGCTTTGCCTAATGCTACCATGTGGTCTTAGATATGCCAAAAATATATGATCAAGTAAAATCGTGTTTAGGACTCGGCCCGAATTTTTCCTGCCTTCAGGTTTGAGATAACGACCTGGCTCTACAATTTGACTCATATATGTTCCCGCCAATGTAGCTTGTTCTCTCTGCCTCGCTATTTTGTATTTCTACGATTCCTGAAGCTTTAGACGATCGGAGTTGTATCATGTTTTACCTTAGACGTTAAGTGTTCTCCGGTAAAGGGGAAATGAAGTTTCTTTATTGCGTTTTTTTAAATATGAAGAAGAAAATTTGTCATATTACTTGAGGTCTTAAAACTTTAAAGTGACAGTACTAAAGTTTACCCCTTTCGTCTTGAAAGGATTCAGTCAAGGCCACCACAAACTCCCGCAAGTTTTCATAACGGAGCGGGTTCCTCCTTTGACGAGATAAAAACTCCGCTAATTCAGACGAAAATACAGAACTTCTTCAGGAAAACCAAGTCCTTGTCCGAAGAGGTATGTTTCCACTACTTGCGTAGAAATTCGATTTAAATGCCACTGTTTTCACTTTGATTGAAATACCTTTTGAATTGAGAGTGATTTGAACTATGCTTATCCCAACTTATTCATATATAACATCAACTCACAACGTATTTAAATATTTGCATAGAGAATAAATAAAGAAGAACACTTATTTGCGTATCTCCACCAAACGTGCTATTGTTTGCTGCAGGATCTTAAAGAATATTCCTAATACAAT